AACAGGAATTTCTAGGATTTGACACAGGATCCTGAATAAAACTTAGCAGGATCCTTGAGATTCAGGATACTGACAGATCCTTTCAGGGTTTCTCAAGGAATGAACAGGATTGAGACTAGGGCAATCACAAATCCCACCAAACCACCACTAAAACACACATCACTAACAGAATCATCGCAGCCAAAAATCACCGATCCCATTCATAAAAGCATTTACTGATACCTTCCACTTCCTACCAGCAACTGAAATCTACACTCGCCAAACACCAAATCATCCAATACTCAACCCAACTTCCAGAGAGAGCCAGCACTACCGCCTGCGAACAACCCAAAATGAATAAATCCGCTTCTCACCGACACAATCTAACACGCTACTCACTAAACCCCACAAATCATTCATTCAAAAACAAAAATTCATCGCAAAGTCAGCGCGGAGTCATGGCAAGATTCAGCCATGACAAAACCTCTCTAACGAACCCGAAAGCACGACCTTCCTAACCACTGAAAACCCCCTCCACCAATCATCACACATTCATTGCAAGAACCAGCAATGCCAAGACCGTCATCTAACCACCCCAAGATCACTGCTTGCTCAACGACCCAGAACCCCTCCACTAGCCCACACAAATTAATCGCAAGAATCAGCGGTGGTGTCATTGCAACATTCACTCATGACAAAAACTCCCTAACGACTGAGAACCCCTGCACCAACCATCACACATTCATCACAAGAGTTAGTGGTGGTGTCATTACAAGAGCCAGCAATGGCCAGAACGCGATCTCGCCAACTCGAAGGGACCGCTTCACTAACCGGTGAGATTAGCCCCCACAAGCTCACGCATATTCAGCGCAAGATTCAGCGCCGGTGTCATTGCAAAAGTCAGCAGTGGCAAAACCCGTCTAACTAAGCCGAAGGTGTAGCTTCGCTAACGACTGAGAAGCGCCTCCCGTAACGCGTACAAATTCATCTCAAGAGTCAGCGGTGGTGTCATTGCAAGAGTCAGCAATGGCAACAACGTGATCTAACCAACCCCAAGGCACAGCTTCACTAACGACTGAGAATGGCCTCCCGCGACCGGCACAAATTCATCGCAAGAGTCAGCGGTGATGTCATTGCAGGATTCAGCAGTGGCAAAACCCGTCTAACCAACTCGAAGGCGCGTCTTCACTAATGACTGATAACTGTCTCCATTAACCCACACATATTCATCTCCAGAATCATAGGTGGTGTCATTGCAAAAGTCAGCAATGGCAAGAACGCGATCTAACCAACCCGAAGGCGCAGCTTCACTAACGACTGAGAATGGCCTCCCGCGACCGGCACAAATTCATCGCAAGGGACAGCGGTGATGTCATTGCAGGATTCAGCAGTGGCAAAACCCGTCTAACCAACCGGAAGGCGCGCTTTCACTAATGACTGATAATCGCCTGCATTAACCCACACATATTCATCTCAAGAGTCAGTGGTGGTGTGATTGCAAAAGTCAGCAATGGCAAGAATGCGATCTAACCAACCCCAAGGCGCAGCTTTACTAACGACTAAGAAACACCTCCCGTAACCGACACAGGTTCACCGCAAGATTCAGCGGTGGTGTTATTGCAAGAGTCAGCAATGGCAACAACGGGATCTGACCAACTCGAAGGCACAGCTTCACTGACGACTGAGAATGGCCTCCCGTAACCGGTACAAATTCATCGCAAGAGACAGCGGTGATGTCATTGCAGGATTCAGCAGTGGCAAAAGCCGTCTAACAAACTGGAAGGCGCGTCTTCACTAATGACTGACAACCGTCTCCATTAACCCACGCATATTTATCTCCAGAATCATGGGTGGTGTCATTGCAAGAGTCAGCAATGGCAAGAACTCGATCTGACCACCCCGAAGGCGCGGGTTCACTAACGAGTGAGATGAACTTCCACTAGCCCACGCATATACAGCGCAAGATTCAGCGCTGGTGTCATGATAAGATTCAGCTGTGACAGCACCCGTCTAATTAAGCCGAAGAAGCAGCTTCGCCAACGAGTGTGGACGGCGTCCGCTAACCGACACATATTCACCGCAAGATTCAGCGGTGGTGTTATTGCAAGAGTCAGCAATGGCAACGACGCGATCTAACCAACCCGAATGCACAGCTTCACTAACGACTGAGAACGGCCTTCCGTAACGGACACAAATTCATCGCAAGAGTCAGCGGCGGTGTGATTGCAGCAGTGAGCCATCGTAAAACCTGTGTAACCAACTCGAAGGTACAAGTCCACTAGCGACTGAGAATCCCCTCTACTAACCCGCACGAAATCGGCGCAAAAGTGACCGGTGATATCATTGCAAGATTCAGCAATGGGAAAACGTTTCTAACCAACCCGAATGCACAGGTGCACTAACGACAGACAACCCCTTATAGTAACCCACACAAATTCATTGCAAGAATCAGCGATGGTGTGATTTATAGAATCAGCAATGGCAAGAGAGCCATCGAAACTGCCTGAAAGCACGACGACAGTAACAGGCTAGAACGTCGTTCGCTTACCAATGCAAAGTCACCAATGATGTTGATAAAATGATGTTAGTAGATGGGTAACACTAACAGATTTAAAACAAATAAAGAATACCAGACAGCTGACTTTGTATCTGATGAAAAATGTAATTTGGTAAATGGTGTAATTGTTGATTGGTTCGATCTACGTTCTTGAACTGGCATAATACCTCTGAAGAGAAGTGAGAAATCTAATATATTTTTTGTTATAGTTTATCGATGTGGCTGACTTTTGGATGCGTATGGGTTAATGAAGACTGAATGGAAACATGTTAAACAAAAGAGCGAGCTATTTGAACAAACAACTGAATATATTCTACAAAGTTAAGTGTCAATTTCTTTAAGTAAGATTTTTTGTTTTGCATAAAAAAATTAAACATTAATCTATCCACAAGTTCTAATGATATAATTGTTCATGAATGTAATAATGTGATTGTATTCTTACAAATAATGCTGATAATAATCTAATAATTAGAAGATCTAAGAAAATGATGGAATCGGACTAAGTGGTATATCGTCTTTCCTTTAATGTTGCGCAACTAGGAATATTTCGTTGCGCTCATGCGATCAATAAACATGTGAGATCAGTACTTCAACGCATATAGACAGGTTTATGAGCAATGGAAAATGAAAACATTCCATGAATTTCTGAACGTCGTGCTCATGTTGGCTGTGGTTTAAAGAAGAGCTTTCGAGTGATAGATTCTATTTTTCAAGTTGAGACAGTTGATTTTGAAATGTGTAAAAACAAGCTATAGAAATGAGCAGAAATATTGAAAACACACAATTTGAAAAAAGTTTATCACTTTAGCGCGTGGGCCCATCCAAAATCACGTGAAAAGCGGAGGGATTCTGAAAAAGCATGTTTGGTCTCACTCTAAAAGAAAGATTTTTACCTAAACAAAAAAGAGTCATTCCACCGGTAGAAGGGAAGATCTCTTGTTGATTTCGTAAGAGGTGATTTTGTATACAATGTTTTTTGAAAAATGATAAAAAAGGTTTTGTATATTTGCCTTTTAGCTAAACCTTTGCTAACGTCTAGCAATACGATAGAGAATGAGAAAAATAGCAGAAACACACTTACGCACCAAGTCACTACGACTCACTTATGCCATTCAGGTGTTAAATAATGTTATCTATACTCAAGAAAGCGAATTTTTTCGAGTTTACATGACATCATATAGCAACCGAACGACAAGTAATCGGTAGTGACTCGGTGGGCGAGTGTGGCACTGCTATTTTTCTCACCCCCTAGCACTTTGTTCTCAAAAGAAACTTACCCTTGTTACATCTTGGAGCCGAACTAGAACAAAAAAAGTACTAGAGCCTGCTGTGAAGAGTCAGACTTTAATATTGTAGAAAAAGTCGATTGAATAAAAAGTTTGGATTAGTATTTGATTTATTAAATATAAAAAAAATTACTTAAGTGACAAACTTACAAAAACAAACATACAGAAATTAGGAAAAAATTTCCCGATAAGCAACATTATCTGTTACTGTTTGCCCATTATCCGTTTTGCCCTGTCTAGTGATATCTTTTACTTGAATTTTTAAACCATTAGATTCCATTACTCTTGAACATCCTGTATAAAACTGACCGTGAGAAAAGCATGGTTCTGGAAGATAGAGGCCAACGTTATGAAAAATTTGGACTTGAGACTTATTTATTGTCATTGCATATGCAAACCGAACTGGAAACTGGTGTCTAACGAAATTGAATGGAAGTGCTGGATCATCCGATATATCCAGAGAAATTCTAGGAATAAAATGAACAGCTCCAGAAAATGCACCAATAATAATTTCCAATTGAAGCACGCTTTGACGAAAGGCTCCAGCAATCATTCTAGTTCCATTGCATAGTCCTTTGTTTACCAACAGATTTCTCAAAAGCATTACTATACAACCGATTTTTAAATTTAATTTATATGGTGGTAATCCAGATGGATTCAAAGTATCTAGAAATTCTACCGGAATATTGACTTGCAAATCGTAATCGTCTACACCGACATCATTTTTTACAGAGTCAATTGCGTAAAAACTCATTTGTTCAACATCTGTTTATTTTATCAAAACGCGTTCATTAATTAATCGAACATCTTCGTTCCTTGGGCAGACAATTACGCGGCTTGAAAATTTGTCGACATCACTACAGGTAAAACTATTACCAAAAATATCTGTAACTATGTCATTAGGTATTAAAGAAATGGGAACTTCAACTGAAAATTGGGTTTTAGGTGTTGCTGCTAAAGGTATCATCCCATCACCGATATCTAACAGTCATTTAGAAAAATTAAGGTCAATGATAGCTCGCATATTGCGTTTTAATTTGAATGTTTTGAAAAAGAGGCCAAATAGAAGATTTTTTGATTGTGAAAGCAATAGGCGTCTAACCTCAGAAAGTTAGTCTAGGTTAACATTTTTCCACCCAGACGAAACTTGATGCGATCTGGTACTTAAGGGTTTCAGACCATGCTCTTCTTTTACCTAGCGGACACTTTTCATGAAAATGCTCAGAAGTAGGTTTTCTAGAAAACCATGGTTTTTTGACACACTGGTCGAATAAAACACTGTTTTTAACAAAACCAAGAAATGATGAAGCACTTCTAATTATATTGCTGTACTCAGCAGAGATCGGGCTACATTTTGAAAAAAAAAATTAAGTCTTTAACTTCAAGTCTCAATTATTTTATTTAATTTTGATTTCTTTAATTTCAACTTGTTTTGATACTCATATTACTCAACAGTGAAAAGTGATGAAGAACTCATTCGAATTACATTGGATAGATCATAAAAAACAGAGCAAAACTAGGTATAATACCTAGTTTTGC